TCCCTACACACACAGATCAAGTGGAACTAGTCATTTACAACAGGTTTCACCATCCTCCCTTTTTTCTCTTTCCTTATCTTGGGCGGAGAAGGTGGAAATATAAAAACAGATTTAATACAAGGCAAGATACACAACAGGTTGTTGGGAATTTATGATGTGAAACCAGAAAATGGGTATCAATATCCAAAAAGACAAGGTAAGATTTTTCTTTGCTCTCTACTTTTCTTTTCCTTCTTTCCTTACTATCCCTCTCTACCGCCCCCTCCCCATTTTTATACCATTTCTGCCTTTCCCTTCCTTCTTTTTTTTCCTGCTCTCCTTCCACCTTCTGTCTTTTACTCCCTACATCCCATTTGTTGGCAGGATTACATGGTGGCTCAGACCACAGCTCGGACTCTGGAGCCAACTGCCCAAGTTCAGATCTCATGCTGTGTTAGGCATGGTATTTAATATCCCGTGCTTCAGTTCCCCTATCTGTAAATGGGATAATAACAGAAGTTCCCTCCTCATAGGGTTGCTGTGAGGATTAAATGGGCTAACATAGGCAAAACACTTAGACCAGGTAGAACCATGCAAGTGTTACCATTCTCAGACCTCTTTCCCTCCCTCCCATCCCCCTCCATCTAATGCCAAACACACTGGACTCCACTCGGTTAAATGGAAAAGGTCCTGGGTTCAAAGACGGGTTCCGAAGGCATGAGATTCCAAGACCTGGTACCTCGTCCTGGCTCAGCCACTCACCAGTTCTCTTAGATATCAGAGACTAAACTGTTTACCGGTAAAACGAGAAGGCTGGTCTAGACGATTGTCTCTACGGTCTCATCCACCTGTTTATACGGCGATTTATAATTCAGAAGTATGCAAAAATTATCAGATGAAAAGGTTTTTGACAACTTTTAGGCACAACAGAGATTTTCATGTTACAATAAAGGATATTCAGTACTTAGAAAGATAACTAACATTGCAAATTACATGGACATGACAATTGTTAAAATTTTAGTGGAACACTGCGTTATTTCTTTAATGTTTTATGAGAAATTTTAACATGCACCTATTATCTTCTGAAATCAAACACATTCAAGAAGTTCTGGATCGGGGCTCCCCCTTCCCAAAGCCATGGGCGAACTCTCTTGAAAGTTTAGGGGTTTGTGTACTTTGTCTGTGGTGCAGGCTGTACCACTGGCTTGGCCTTGGTGACCCACCGGGAGAAATTGTTTCAGAAACACTCGGCAGCTATTCTGTCTTCTCCCAGGTCAGCAGAATGAGTGGTGAGTGAAGCAACTACAGAAGGAGTTCACAGTGGTTCACTCTGTGTGAAATTCACTGGAGTAAGTGAAATAATTTACATATAGTGCTGCCATCCGAAAACACTATTCAGCTTTTAAAAGGCGGGGAGGCGGATTTAATGTGGAAACCGTCTTTAGCTGGCTTCATCACACATAGATGCTTTGATTTTATGACGATGAAGACTAGCTATGACCAGGCGTGACCCTGGAACAGGACACGGCTTTGATGTTAATTTGAAGGGGATATGGTATTACCATGGTGAGGAGGGAGATTTCCTCCATTAACCTCCTACTGAAAAATCCGTCCAATGTTTCAGAAATTAACAAGATTTTAAAGATTCAAGTAACTTTTAGAAATGTTACACTCCTATTGGGTTAAGTCCTTATTCAGAAACTGATCACTCAATCAAGGGACATCAACTTGTCCACTGAAGACATATTGACTACAGGGACCAAATGGGAATTCTGTTAAAACAACATTGATTAGGTCTTGTTATGTTTCAATTATGATCCCAAGTCCCACCATCACCAAAGAGTGTTCCCACTGTTTCTCATAATTCTTAGCGGAAGTCTTTGCACCACTCTCTGCTGGAATGGGCTGCTCCTGCAAAGCCTACAACGTGGTTGATTCTACATTATTTTCTGCTGCTAGAATCACCTGTCTCGACTTGCACATTCACCTAGCTGTTTAGAGATAGCTAGAGGTAGCCATGGCCTTGTGGATACTGTGAATCCATGAGGGTACCTGTAAAACTCTTGTGCCTTCCAGCTAGTAGTTTCAGTGTTAGACCAATTGTCAGAGTTTGGGCAAGAATCAGTTGGATTGATTTAGGTATCTCGAAGGGCCATTATAAAAGACAAGAGGGAGAAACTAGCTCAGATTGATTAACTGGTATCACTAAGTCAAGGCTTGAAATTGAGTGCGTAAGTGCATATGTGTGTCCGTGCATTTGGGATAGCAAACAGTAAATTTAAGCTTTGACCTGATTTCCAGGATAAGGCTGGTTAAAGGGTAGTGGGGAATCTAGAAATCACTGCTAGGTAAGTTCAATTTAAAAATCCTTTTAGTTTAATTATTAAAAATTGGGAAATATTAGAAATCAAACACAACTCCACAGAAATATGGACAACTACCAGGTTAGTGTATTTCTAATAGATGATTTTCTACGCACGTTTTCATATAGTTGAGATCATGTGCGTATACTAATTTGTCTTCTACTTGAACTTAAGATTGTGCATTTCCCTATGTCATTTTTGAAATTATTTTTAATGTCAAAATAATATTCTATTACAGTTTTATTCAAATATGGTTAACTGCTTTCTTACTGCTGGACACAGTGTTTTGCTGTAAAAAGTAATACTGTTATGAACATTTGTGCATAAATGTACCTTCTCTCTTTAAGATTATTTCCATAAAATGAAATTACAAGATTAAAGAATTTATATATTTTTAAGGTTCTAGATACACTTTACCAAATGCTTGTGTCAAAATGCCCTCCCAGCAACAGTGTAGGAGACTGGTCCATCTCATGGCATCATTGCCAGCACTGAACGTTTCTTTAAAGAAAAAAAGAAATCCTTGCTAATTTGATGGTAAAACAGTATCTTATTGTAATTTGCTTCACATTTTAAAAATTACTAGTTATATTTCCCCTTTTGTTTTTCCTCTCCTATCAACAATTTCTTCATGTCCTTTGCCTTTTTTTCCGTTTTTCATTCACATTAATGAAATTATTTTGTTTTGTAAAGTCACCATCGAAGCAGCAATAAAACGCTCACTTGAGTTCATTTTATTGAATTGACTTAAATATTTTATTCTAAAGACTATAGTTTAATAGGAAAAATCTAAAGCGTACATGTTTAAAGATCATTTTGTAGTGACATTACAGGAAATAGATTCCTCCAAATAACATGATTAGTTTTGTAGTGCTACTAGTGGAATGCTTTCTGCAGAAACGTGGTTTTGCCTTGATATCTGAGCACATTACCCTTACATCAAAAAAGAAAAAAGGATAATAAAAAAACACAACTTTGATTAGTTTAAATTTTAGTAGACCACATCTGATTTGTTGAAGAGCAAGTTCTTTTATTTACCTCTTCAAGGAAGTGTTTATTTTTCTCACCTCTTTCTGTGCATCTTTATCCTATAAAGAAAATACAAATACACAAAAAGATTTCACACATTCAACCTCATACTCTAGGTACTTGGAAGTAGACTTTTGTTGAATGAGGGAATACTCTTTTAAAGACCATTACAAAGAAACTGTGCATTTCTTAGGACCAGGCATGAATCAGATCTCTGAAAATGTTAAGTGATGCGGAGAGTGATTTCCAGGCTCTTCCTCCAGCTGGCCTGGAGTGGTGGATACAGGAAGGTGAGCCCCTTCTATAGAAGCTGACACACTGGATCCACCAGCGTGTTAATGATAACATTTTCTTCTTCAGCTGTAACATGTGGAAGAGGTCCTGGCCCTAGCAGCAGAATTTGAAGAAATCTGAGATTCCTCTGTAAGATCCAGACAAGATTCCACTACAAGATCCAAACTACCTACTTTATCAGGTAGTTTATATTTAAGATTAAAAATCATGTAATATGTTTTATAGGACTCCACATGTGTTATTTCCTTAAAACAAGTGTGGAAGTTAGGAAGAGTGGAAACAAATTCAGGTGGTAAGCTACTCCTATGCGCTTTTGTGTTTAACAGACACTTACTGAGCACCTATCAGAAAGGATTTAAGGAATGTTAACACATTTAAAATAAACAGATGAGGAAAACTGGACAAGGTAGATTTTGGAAGTAGTTGTTAGCCAGATTTTTTTAAAAACTGGAAGTTCTTTAATAGTTTTAATCATAAACATTAACACACTGATTCTACTGTAGTGTCTGATCAACTAGGAGTATACCTTCTATCAGATCAATATTTTTGAAGGTTGTAAGAAAATATGGTTAATGAATCTATGATAGTGATGCATTATTTAAAAGAACTTATAAAAAGCCATAATTCATGTTTATCTTTGTAATCCTAGGGCCAGCTCAGTGCCTGGCACCTAGAAGACCCTAAATAAATGCCTGTTAAACAAGTGGTTAGACACTGGAGCTCAGTAACAATTTCCCAAATCTAGGAACCAATTTCTTATGTAGATGAGAGACTTATTTCAACTAGATGCCTAAAGAAATGAATATGCTCAAACTACAATAAAAGATTTAAAATTAAGATCATGGCTTAGCAATACTTGCCCTCAGGCACCACAAAGAATTCCTTCAACTCCCACTCAATCCAACTGCCAACACACACACACACACACACACACACACACACCCCTCCCATTTTACCTCCTTCCCAGGGTTTCCACCTAAGTCTTTAATTAATTTATTTTTAATGGATAGAGGACACTGGCAGTGCCTTTTAGCTTAAGAAACCCCCCGCCAACTAAAACCAGCACCTCCAGTCATGCTTTCCTCTGTCACTGCCCCAAATGTACCCCCTTCAGACCATGAATCCTCTTCGGTGCTCACCCCCAAAACCTCTCTTCTCTAGTCTCTCTTCCCTGACTCAACCTCACACTCCTCCCCTTTTTCCCAGACAGAGCTCCCTGGAACCCCTGTTAGAAGGCTTGTTTTGAAGTCATTTCTGCATAACCAGCAATGTATTTGCTAAAAGAATATTTCTGAAGGGCTCGGGAAGAGGATGAGGGAGTGGTTAAAGCCAGTGGTACAGGATAATTGCTCTCGACCGTTTCTTATATCTGTTAACAAACTCCTGGTCACTCTCCTTTTACTTTTATTTTTTATGACTTTGGTGCCTTGGTCTCCACACCGAGTTCCGCCACCACTGTTGGAGACTTCACTGTTCCCACGGCCCGTGTATCCCAGCCTTTTAGAAGTGTGTCTCCTCAGCTTCCCCACCACCCCCGCGAGTGCACCCTGGGCTGTGTCAGACCTAAAACTGCTCCACCTCTGAAATAGGCATCCTGTTCTCTGAACACTGCCTATCCTTCGGGGTCATTTATCCAATTATGCTCAATACATCAAATTTTCAACCTTCAATAGGTTCATGGAGCGATTTTATCCTTCTTGTTCTCTAACAGCTTTTTCCTGCTTTGACTTATTTTCTACCCACCTTAGGTTCCACACCTTCCTACTCTCACTCAAAGACTAAAACCCTTCCTCCCCTGGGGCACTTACCCTGGTTCGCTACAAACCCACAAACCCATCGATTCCTCTATCTAGCCTGTGACAAAAGGACGGGACCTCAATGTGCTTTGGATCCCACCGTCTCCGGCTTCCTGGTGACCTAATTTTATCAGTTATCTCCCCCCTCTCTAGTCTTTCTTGAATCCTTCCTTCTTTGCTGGCTCTTTCTCATTACTATTTAAATATGCTCCTAGATTTTCCATCCAAAACAAAACTATTTCTCAATTCAAGCACTGCTTTAACTTCTACCTTACATCTCTCCTCTCTTTCCCATCAAATTATCGGAGCAGTGTCTGCACGTACTGACTGGATTTTCTCACCTCTAGTGCTCTGCGCTCTGTTGCCTCCTATACTGTTCCACTGAAACAGTCTGGGTTAAGATCGCCAATGACATAGGCATCATTAACTTCATCTGCTCATTACAGTCTTGACTCCCCTAGAGTGTCTGACAGAGTTGACCACTTCCGCTGCCCCTTGGATTCTGGAGTCCTGTCATCTTTGGCCAGTTCTTTCAATCTCATTTGTAGGTTTCTTTTCCTCCCATTACACTGGGGTTTCTCAGGGTTGATCCTTTGCCCTCTGCTTTTCACACACTACATAACCTCTCTGGATGATCTCTGCCATACTTGTGGTTTCTGACATTTATAAGCCAAATATTCAATCACTTAATGGATCTGAAAATCTCACAAACACAAACTCCAAATGTCCAAAACTGAAGTCTCCTTGTCTACCAAATCTGGTTCTCCAATATTCCCTGTGTCTGTAAAGGGTACTGCTACCCGCCCTGGTCAGGTTCCCGTGCCAGAAACCGAGATGTCATTCTTGAGTCCTCCATCTTCGATATCCAAGTCCTGTAGACAATACTACCTACAAATCTGCTGAATCAGTCCTCATCTCTTCGCTCCTCGCTGCCATCACCTCGGCCCAGGCCATCACCTCATGCGTCACTGCAGAGGTTATCTAAATGGTATATGTTCCAGCTTCCAATTCTTCTCTCCTCCCACCCAAGTCAACCTCCATATGGTAGCCACTGTGTCCTAAAAATCTCATTGTGTTACTTGCTGCTTAAGACCCTCTAACAGTTTGTTCTTGCTTTTAAGAAAAAGGTATACAAGGCTCTCATCTCTTCTCTCTCTCAAGAACTCAACATTTCAGCAATATTGTACACTTGATACAGTGCTTTTTCACATATTTCTCAACTCCAAGCCTTTCTATTTATCTTTCTATTTCTATTTAATAAAATATGGTGTGTATATCACCCGCATCAGTATCACCTGGGATATCTGCATCACTTATAAACTGTGCTTGTTTGTCCATGTTTCCATTCACCCTTGCCATGTGGGTACGTATTTAAACACAAATAGAATGATTAGAACACATGTTTTGCATTCTACATTTTTTCCATTACATTAAAAGGTATTTTCTGATTAAACAAAGTTCTTGTAAATATGTTTAGAGCTGCGTACAAAATTGAAACTGATCGGCTGATCAACAGCGATGCAGTAAAGGAAAATGCCTCAATTACTCACCATGTTTCATGATTTTTTTGTTTTCTTTTTTTTTTGCGGTACGCGGGCCTCTCACTGTTGTGGCCTCTCCCGTTGCGGAGCACAGGCTCTGGACGCGCAGGCTCAGAGGCCATAGCTCACGGGCGCAGCCGCTCCGCGGCATGCGGGATCTTCCCAGACCAGGGCACGAACCTGTGTCCCCTGCATCGGCAGGCAGACTCTCAACCACTGCGCCACCAGGGAAGCCCTCATGATTTTTTTAAAGACAAATACCCATGTATTAGATTTTTCATCAACAACTCTTATCAATCTACTGAAGAGGGGTTATCACATTGTTTATTACATCTCACCAAAATCTGCATTCAACTTTTCTAAGAACGCATCACAGTTCTACATCTTTACATGGTATTATTTTCAGTAATATGTCATTTGGCAGAAGTCCAATTATATGTTGAATTGTGTACTAAAGGGTTCTTCTTGATAGAGTATTTTTTTTCCTGAGTATGAATTTTCTTATATAAAATCCAGATGAAGGCATTTCTGCATTGACCTGAGGCTTAAGGAACTCCCAAGTGTGAGAACTTTAAGGCTGACTAAGGTGAGATCATTTCATTCATGACACTGAGAATGTCTGATACAGTAAAAGTCCTGACGTGCCCTGGAGTGCTGCTCTATGAGTAATGGGTTTCCCATGTTTATTTCATTGAATTGCTTCTCCAGCATGAATTGTCTGGTATTTCCCAAATGGCTTCCTCCTCCTGGTAAAGACTTGCTGCGTCCCTTCCTGTTTGAGTTTTCTGTGCAGAACAAGGCCTGAGAGATGGCTGAAGGCTGCAGCGTTGCTCCCCTGTGTGAACTCTCTGGTGTCTATAAAGGTTAGAGCTGGGACTGAAGGTTCCTCCAAATTCATTACGTCTCTAGGGTTCCTCTCTGGTGTATGCTGTTTCATGGCTAAGGTTAGAGCATCAACTAAATGCTTTGCCACATAGATGATATTCTTATGGCTTCTCTGCAGTGTGATTCACTTGTGTCATTTGAAGGATGAATCATTACTGGAGGCACTTCCATAATGATTGCAAAGGGTTTGTCTCTGGTGTGAACAAAAGGCAGCTCTCTGGCTAAAGTGTTTCCCACATTCGTTACATTTACGGGGCTTCTCTCCAGTGTGAGTTAACACTTGTTCAGTCAATGTGGAGCTGTGAGTGAATATTTCCCCATTCTCACTATATTCAGAGAACTCCTCTCCAGTGTGAAATCTCTGCTACTGAGGAGATGAGAGGCTGTTAAAGGTTTGTCCACATCCATTCATCTATTCATTCTGCTACATATGAATTTTATGCTCATTCATTCATTGATAACCTCTAGTTAAAGTCTTTGCCACACTGGTTACTTTCACAGGATGTGTGACTGTCCTGCAGGTACAGAAGTTTTCTCCTTTGC